ACGGGTGATGATGGTAATTTGGGTAATAGCTTCGCGTTAGGGTTGCGAACCCACCGATCTTGCATACCAGAGGCCCCTTCATCCTCTTCATCAGATGAATCATTGTCAGAAGAGGCCGATGCCGCGTCATCGAGCGTCTCCATCTGGTCACCGGTCTGCAAATCCTGATCGTGACTACGCAATGCCCATGTGTCAATGTATCCGGCCAAGTCAGCCACTGCAACCATTTTCGAGTCAGCGCTGAATGTAATTTGCGTAATGCTCCGGTCGTAGCTGCCCAGACCGCCATTCAGGACGTATCTTGGAATCTGGCGGCGAAGTCGTGAAAGCCGTCGAAGCCTGATGGGGGCTTCGGCAGTTTCTGTAGATGTATGTTCGGTTTGGATCTCGGCCATGAGAACCCGAGATCCTTCTTGGACCGCGAGCAACCACCGCCCATCAGGAGAGAGCTTGACCTGGGAAGCGCCAAGCTGTGACAGCTTGACTGGCAGTTCAATGCTCGACAGCTTCACGTCTGAGGGCTTGGCAGGGTCTTCATGCTGAAGCCGGAAAGCTTTAACATCGGTGGCAGTAGACACGAAGAGTAGGGTGCCCTCTGGATTAATTGTGGCGGAAGCAATGTTTGAATCGCCTTTAACAACAATAGTCTTCAGCAGTTTCCGATTCTGGTTGATATCGACAAGTTCGTCTCCGGACTCCAGTAAATCGGCAGCTGACTTGCGTAAAACCCAAACATGAACCTCCCTCTCCCACCAGCTGACGATGAATCGTGCTCTAGACGCGCTGGTGATGGGTGGTTGTTGAGGCAGGTTGCTTATCATTCTGTGATTTTCTCGGCCCATTTCTTTCAACGGGACAATCATCAAACTTGCGTCGGGTCCTGCTGCCATGTTAATTGAGTCTTGTGAATAAGGGACAAATGTCTTTCCTACCTCCTGAAACTACAACGCTGATGCGTCCGTGTTCAAAAGCAGCCATTGCTTTGACATCGTGGTCATGGTAGCGGCGACCCCAAACCTTGCTCCATCGCTGACCGGCGCCCGAGGTTTGCTTGTAGAGCATTGTCCTACGGTCCATGCCTCCGCTGATAATGGCTGTTCCGTCTGCGCTTGTCGCAAGACTGAGGACATCTGACTTGTGACTCTGAATCCTCTGTGCCTGAGTATACGTCTTCCCGTCCCAAATGCAGATCTGGCCTGTTGAGTCGCCAGAGACAATATTGCCATTCGGTAGGCATTTAACAGACCAAATAATGATGTCCTTGGAGCCACCGAGAAGATCCGAGCCAAGGGTCATTCTTCGCAGCATATGACCCCTTATGATATCGTAGGCTCTGATGGTGCTGTCGGAGCATCCGACAATGACGACTTTGCGGGATTGGAAAGTGATGCTGACCATCTGAGCTTTTTTGGTGGGCGATTTGACGAGGACTCGCTGGAACCTCAGATCATCGTCTTGCAGGGAGTACATGACTAGCTCTCCATCAATGGTTCCGGCAATCAGTTTGTTAGAATTCTGCGTCTCCCGAAAACCGCCAGCGATCTGCGGCTTGTCGCCCTGCGGCTGCGCCGCAATGCACCAAATATCACCATGTTGGCCGCTGGCATGTCGCTTTGGTTTGCCTTTTTCGAGATCCCATTCAGTAACTGCAGATGTATAGCCAATGCTGAAGAGGCGTGACTTCCCAATGGCTATGTGACCGTCGCCTAGATCTTGATCGGGTTCGTTTACCCAAACCAATCCATCAACGCTCCTATCCTTTCCGCCACGAATGACGAGCTCCTGAAGCCAGGTCCCGCTAGAGGGATTCCATATTTCAATATCGCCGTTGGCACGTCCGATAGCTAGCCTCGCTACAGCATTCTGCTTGGCTGATCTTGTCTTGGGGTGCGAGAAAGCGACAGCGTTGATGGCGGAGGGCTGATACGGCACGAAACGACACCGATGCACATCCATTGCGTCGGCCTGTCTTTGCTTGTTCGATGCACGCGAGATGTGCAGGGTCAATAGCTAGGCACAAGAGCTTCCCAATCTACGAATTCCGACCGCCGAACACCGGAGGTTTATGTGTTTCGGGGTGTCTGGGCTGGGTGTTGTTCGATGGGGCTCTTTCGACAAGGCAAAAAAATGAGGATGCAGTCTCGCCCAGATGTTTTTTTTTTTTTTGCCCGCAGAGCCAAACGGCGATTTTAAGGTGTGGTCAATGCACGAAATGCCCCTCCACCCCACCAATGCCATCGTACCAGATGCAATAGCTACACTGGCACTTCATCTCTTTCCGTGACTCAGCTTTTGCTTCGTCACTTCCGAGCCTCGATGCGATAAGTCCGACCTCTGCTCTAGCCCGACAGACAGCCTACCCTCGTACTCGCTGCTCCGGCCCAACGTTGAGGTATCGAGCAGGCGGTCTTTCTACCTCTCTCCGAGTCAACGACGCCGCAATTCGCATTGGCGCCACCATCGTGCTTGTTTGGTCTGGGACGGAACTACAACTGGACGACACGAACCACGGCTCTGGCTCGGAGCGCCATCAAGGTGTCGGGAGTTGCAATACTGATCCTTCAATCCTGCGACTCTGGCCCATGATTCCCTTCCTGTGGCAAAGTTCTTACATTGTCTGCTAGCTGCGGTGGTCTCTGGTTTCCTGCACGTAACTCAATACACTAGCATGGATTTCAACAGTTCGTCGCCCTTCCCCGAGGGCGTCATCTCCTTTCTCGACACCGATCTGTACAAGTTGACGATGCAATGCGCCGTCTTCAAGTTCTTCAAAGACGTTCCCGTGACTTATGCTTTCACTAATCGTACGCCGGATAAGAAGCTTTCAAGAGTTGCGTTTAAATGGCTTGACGAACAAATTCGAAGTAAGTGAGAGACACCACGGCCGCAATCAACCCTTCTGACAAACTTTCAGAGCTCGGAAACATCTCACTGTCCAATGGAGAATATCAATTTCTGAAAACACATTGCAAGTATCTTACTGACGACTATCTCAATTATCTGCGCGATTTTCAACTGCGACCTAGAGAGCAAGTTACCGTTACCTTTACAACTGTTGGCGAAGATTCCGGGGCCGATTCAGATATTGGCGATATTGACATCAAGATTCAAGGAACATGGTCTGACACCATCTTGTACGAGATTCCGATTCTTGCCTTGACATCCGAAGCATACTTTCGATTCATGGATACCGACTGGAACTACGACGGCCAGGAAGACCTTGCATTTCACAAAGGCATGCAGCTCTTGGAAGCCGGTTGCATTACTTCGGAATTTGGCACTCGAAGAAGACGTGACTACCACACTCAAGCCTTGGTGTTCCGCGGTTTAGTCAAGGCATCCAAGGCTGCTGCGGAGAAGGGCTTCCCTGGTAAGCTGTCTGGGACATCCAACGTACACTTGGCTATGAGGTTCGGCATTCCTCCTGTGGGAACTGTTGCCCATGAATGGTTTATGGGCACAGCCGCCATTTTTGATGACTACAAGAAAGCTACAGAACTAGCACTTCGTCACTGGGTCGGCTGTTTCGGCTCGAATCTAGCCATTGCCTTGACAGATACATTCGGCACCCCTGAGTTTCTCAACTCTTTTAGCCTACCCGTGCAAACAGTTAAAGGCGGTATGTCAGGTGATATTTTCAAGAATGAGGACGGTTCTACCAAGACGTATGCCGAGCTGTTCAGGGGCGTGCGACAAGATTCTGGAGATCCTGCTGAATATGTCAAGTTGATGCGGAATTATTACGACAAACAGGGCATCAAAGAGAAGAAGGTCATTGTATTCTCTGATTCACTCAACATAGAACGCTGCTTGGAGTACAAAAAGATTTCGGAGGAGCTTGGGTTCCAGCCAACATTTGGCGTTGGCACGTTTCTCACCAATGACTTTACGCACTTAACAACTGGAACCAAGTCGGTGCCCCTGAATATTGTTATTAAGCTTAGCTCAGCAGCAGGACGACCAGCTATCAAGATTAGGTGAGTACTATTGAAAATTAGCATCAAAACACTTTTCACTTACTCATTGCAATCAGCGACAATGTTGGCAAGAATACCGGGGACAAAGACCTCGTAGGAAAGGTTAAGAAAGAGCTTGGCTACGTGGAACGCGAATGGAAAGAGGGCGACGAGACCTCGCGATGGGGTAAAGAAGAAAATTCGCAAGCATAGGTGACCGAATTTTTTAGCACTTGGTAGTATTTTGCCAAAATTAGATGTTTGATGAAATAGAACCGACTAGTCTCAGTCTTGGCTAGGTCCTCAATATACTATGCAATGGGTATTGATTCCATTGGCAGAATCCGTGGAATGTTCGGGAGAAGGGCAGGGCTGTTTATCTTTCTATGACAGTTATCCAAACTGTCGCCATGTAGGACCCATTCGAAAAGACATTCGACTACGAACATACGGCCGTGTGTATAGTCCGCGGTCTTAGCCGCAATGTCAAGGTAAGTGCTCCCCATGCTAAACCATGACGACTCGCCAGAAGATGTTGGAAGGAAGTAGCGGACCGAACTTGCACCTGCCTCCTCGATCTTCGACGGCCAATCTTTGAACACCCGTCTTTCGAGCACTTTCAACTCTGTCAACCACCAACTCCAACCGAAAATCCTTCGTTTTTTGGACGTCTTTTTGGAACCGTTTTTGGAACTTTTTGTCTTGGAGCGCATCCTTTCCCACTTCGTGACATCTACCATCAAGCATTTACCAGAGCCCCCTTCTCAGAAGAATGTCCAACTCATTCTGTTCCGATGTTCTGAGGGACTCGAAGAGGAGCTTTTCCTTCCCGCAGAACAGCCGTGTGCTGGCTTTCATTGTTTTGATCTTCTTCGGCTCACTCATAGCCGGAACCGTCCACGTTGTCACGACACATGTTCCGCCAAGAAAATCATCATTGGATGCCCGACAGTTTCAACTCGGGAGCATACTAGGTGCTAATGCGCTTCAGGCAAGTGGATGATATCGTTCGCTAGCATGACGCTCAATTGACATTATCAGGCTATGAGATCAAGTGAGGTCGAAGAAGGAGCCCGCAAAGTTGACTCCCACCTGGATATCGATGCGAAGAACTCAAAACACGCTACCTCATTTTCCTCGCCAGGTGCAACTTCTACATACAAACCTGTAGCTGAGAGCAGCATTCGAATGGATGATGTCGTGGACGTGGACACTGTTCGCCCGCCGCCTGCATTCGACTTGCTTGTGGCAATGATCGAGGCCTTCAAACCAATTGTGAACACCTCTCGGGTCTCTACATCGGCCTTAAAGAAGCATGCTTTGGCTCTAGAGGTCAGAACATTAGTCACCAAGTCATCAACAAAGCGTGATCCTCCTACCAACACAACCTCAGTTTTGTCTTCTAATAGTTTCCAAGCGGGCAGCTTATCGTCAACGCCATCACCGACAAGATTTCAACAAACTGGCCCTTCATCAAAAAAAGTTGGCGGTCCGCAGAGACGCGAACTTGATCCTAATAATCCAGAGTCAGAAATAGCTCTCTCCTTGCTAGATCCTGTATCCCGCCTGGTTGCGAATATTGCTCAAATCGATATGGAACGTGCTGCAGCGTTGGCCGATGCCATGCTAGCTGTGCTTCCACTAGAGCCTGAGGCACTTTCCTGCGCTATTTTGAACATTACAGAGCAGGCATCTGTTTCAGTGGAAGCTGTTATCCCTTTCATCCTTCCAGCCATTGGAAAAGCCTGGGGTAACTGGGGAGAAGGGCAGATTTCAAAGGAGAATCCAGAAAACCTGAACGACATATTCAAAGACATAATTGCTCAAGGGTCAATCGTCATCAACCAAATCACGACCGCTACGGCATTGATTCAAGCTCCAACCATGCAGGAAGTTTTAAAGCAGGTCGCCAATGTTGTATATGCAGTGGCAAATCATTTGGATCAAATTTTCTGCGCCATTGGCCGAAATGATGATAGTCTACAACTTGATGCTCTTGTTCCATGCGACTCAGCTACCATCGAATCTGCATCAGTGAATATTTTGACGCCGAACCCAATATCTTTGACACTTGGCAGCTCTTCATTGGCAACTGCAACATGGAACATCATACCTAACGCAAACCCTGAAGCTTATGACACGCTATCTGAAATACTGCCTGAACCCTATTCAATCTCGTCGGCTTCCAACCCATATATCCTACAAACTGGGCGTTCGCAATTTTCCGTCACAGACCAAAGTGTTACATGTACAGCAGGGACATCCTCAAGCTCACGCATAACTTCCCCTGGTCCCTTACCTTGTCCGGCCTCGGCGGTTGTCTCGACGCCAGGAGTGAACCCTAAGCCAGGCCCTTGTCCAGAGACAGGATATCAGTGCAGAGATTGTCTCAATGGATGGTTTTGTCCCCCGGTAGAAACACCCCCTCAAGTTGTGCCTTGTGGATTGGGATGGCCTTGTTTTCACTGCAAAGATGGATACTTCTGCTCCTCAACTGCCGCCTTGGATCCTACTGCATACATCCCGGATAGTTACAGTGTTCCATTGCGTCCTGCAAGCACCGAGGTAGTGGAGACCAATAGCCCGACAGCACCTTCAGCTCCTACACCCAGTCACGACTTTTGCGTCGCGGTTCCCGGCTGGACATATTTGGGATGCTTCCAAGATGCTATTTCACGTACGCTTCTGGGATCCAAGCCTGTAGACTATTTGCGAGGTTCAATGTCGAATTATACGTGTATCAACCATTGCGCAGCAAATGGCTACTCCTTTGCTGGCACTGAGCATGGCTTAGAGTGCTGGTGTGGTGTGTCTATCCGAGACGATGCCGTTCGATTACCCGAGAGCTGTTGCAATGTGACCTGTCAAGACTCGGGAAACGAGTTCTGCGGTGGATCTTGGGTAATTTCTGTATTCCAATGCGCCGAATCTAACGCTCAATCTGGCCCAGGGAACAGCAACTCATCAATATCAAAGGGAGTCCAAGCATCAACACAACTGCCAGGCCCATCGCCGACCGTCACTACGCCACCGCCATATCAACAAACCCAGTCACTATCCGCAGCGTTGAAAACAACTGCGGATTCGCTGCCATACGCAAACGAGAGCAAAAGCAAGCAAACACCATCTTCGGCCCAGCCAGGCCCAGTCGCAAAACTATTGGCAAACGCAAGACATTCTAAGTAGACTAATGGAGCTTTGTAGCATACTATTGCATGCATTTGAGACCTTGATGACAAATTTGTACGTAGCTTCATGTAATTGCCGAAATGGTTTACGGAAAGCAGGAATATCAGCCGGGGGAGGCATGGTGACCAAGTTAGGTTCTTTCTTTTGCTTTGTTGTATGGGGCCTTATTTTGATTCTGCAAATTATGGCTATAATAAGCGCATGCAGGTTCTCACGATTGGGACATGGAGCACGATGAATGCATGCAGTTGACGTTCAAATCCTGGGTTCGCAGTAATACATACAATGATTCGCACGGACTTTTAGCCGGCAAGTGGTCCTCAGTGGACTCGTCTCACCCAGACACAGTCAGGGCCTTTATTTCGTTTGGGGATGATGTTCGCCAGATCCTAGATGGCTCAAAATGAGTTGTCAAGCTAGGAGAAAACCACATGGCTGCTCAGACAGAGAAGTCCATGGTCCATGTGATGGGCAGCACACCTTGCCCGACTAGAGAAGTAACCAGTCGATCCTATCTAAGGTTGACAGTGACAGCGTTGTCTCGGATTACGTACAGTCCCCCCCCTAAATTATTCTACATGCGTGACCTGGCAGGGGGGTTAATAACCAATAAAAAAGGGTTTTTATAAAAAGAGAGTGGAACCTTAAAATACCTAAGATTTTCCTAAAATTTCTTAGTAAGTTAAGGTCTCTTTACAAGGGTCAATAAAACCCTGTAAATTCT